TGAAAGAGCCTGACTCCAAGGTGAGGGCCTGCCTGACATGCTCCCTGCCAGGACAGGTGCCAGGTCAGGGCGTGGGCAGCTGAGAGCCCACAGGTGCAGGCAGGTGAGTGACTGCACCTGTCTGGAAAGGAGACAGGCAGGGGCAGCTGCCAAAGGCTCATCCCAGCCAGGCGGGCACTTGGCTGCCTGGTTCTCCAGGGCAGAGGAGAAGTAAGGCCCTGGGAAGCCACACTCACTTTCCCATGACACCACTCCCTGCTGCCTTGAACTTGCATAGTCTCCTGCATGGTTGCAGGCTCTCCTGCCCACTGAGCACACCGAGCACACAACCTCCCGCCGATCACCCGGGGGCTCCTCTGTCCCTCCTCTGAGCCGAGTCACTCCCTGCCCTTGCTCCCTTCTCTATCTCATTAAGCAACCACCCCTTACATTCCATAGCACCTGTAATTTCCAAAGAATTCTCACCCTGTTTATCCTCCTCATTTGCATAGTGCCCCCTACTTATAGAACACAGTGGGCAGGGTTGAGACGGTTATCTCTATTTTACTAACTCGCCCCGCAGCCACACGCCCAGGGGATGGCAGGGCACCTTCTATCACAACATGCTGCCTTTCCTGCCACAGTAATTAATAATCCCGGCCCTGCCTGCCTCACAACTACCAGGTAGGGTGTGGTGAAGACGGAGACTGATGAATTAAAGGGCTGGATGTTGTGAGGCCTTACTGAGAAGGAGCCCTCAGCAGCTGGGCTACTGGCAAAGCTGGCGCCACCTGTACTGGGCAGGTTAGCGCCCCAGAGCCAGCCTTCCCACACCTCTCTTTAAACTCTTTGGAGAACCTGAGTGAGAGAGCTGGCTCCAGGGAGGGAGAGCCAGCCTGCATGTCCAGGCAGGAAGCTGAAGGAGGCATTTGTCTAGGGATCCTCCCCTCCCGGGCCTCCCCCAGCCACCTCCCCAGGGGTCTGGGCAGCCTCGCCCCGCTGTCAGAGGAGGAGCTGGCTGCTCAGCAGTCTGTCCTTAGGCAGGAGAGACCAGGCTGCAGGAGTAACTTTCCAACAAAAAAGTACCTGCTGTCCAGGTGCTCCCTTCCCAGGGTTTTTCAGAACCCAGAGAAGACAGGACTAGTTAAAGGAGTAAGGCCTGCCTCTCCCCTCACTCTGTATTTGAAGAGCCAGCTGGACAGTGTCCCTCAGCTATAGTCCTGCAGGCCAGAGCCACGCTCCCAATGTTGGCCTCGGGAGCAGGGCTCTTTACCCTCCAAATGTCTCCTTTCCTCCGAGAAAGACACACTGTATTCCACACTGAGAGATGACAACGAAGAGCAGGTGAAGAGGGTAGGTCAACTGTTATAGCAAATAACCCTCCAACCGCAAGGCTTAATACAAGTGAAGGTTTATTTTCCGTCCATGGGATGGAGGGTTGGGTGGGGAGACAATCCGCACAGTCATTCAGAGACGGAGGCTTTTGCCGTCTTGTGGCTCCTTCTCCCATAGAGAGTCCACTGGATACTCTGCCGCAGCCAGCAGAAGAGAAGAATGTGGGCAGGACTGTCTCTGGCCAGCAGACCTTGTCTTGGGTCTCTTGCCAACCATGTCCTTAGCCTTTCCCGAAGGGCAAGGGTCCCATGAGTGGCAGCTCAGCTGCGATCAGGTGGGGAGGTATCTGTGGTCTCTGCTAGGGACCTTCTGCTGAATGCAGGTGGGGTGAGGCCTGCCTCCTCTTACGTCCTCCACAGCCTGAACTCAGAACCACCAGAGCAGAGTTTCCCCAAGTGTTGTCCCAGAGCCCCCTCCTCAGAAGCCCTGGATGAGGGCAGGGGATGTTTCTTAACAAATCAGAGTCTGGGGCCCCAAACCAGACTAACTGAATGGGCATCTGTGGGGTGGAGCCCTGGAATCCTCTTTTTAGATAAGCTCCCCTGGTGATTCTGTGCTCAGCACAGTGTGAGAACCACAAGACTAGGCTTTATCAGAGTCTCATGTCTTGGTCAGCTTTGTTCTGTCTGCATCTGGCACAGAACCTAGAACAGCCAAGCCCTCAGAGATTCAACCCTGAATCTGAATCCTCAAAACCTAACTTTTTATTATGGGAAATTCCAAACACATGCAAAAGTGGACAGAAGGCATAATGAGCCCCCGAGAACCCTTCACCCAGCCTCAGCCTCACCCACTCCCAGCCAGTCTTCTTCCCTGTGCTCTCCTCCTTACCCAGTTATTGCAGCCTATCCCAGCCGTCATACTTCATCCGAGCATACTCGGGGATGTATCTCTCAAATATAAGGACTCTCTCTTCATAAAACATAACCACAATATTGTAATCACGCCTAAGAAACGAATAGTTCCTTAATACCAAATATCCATCAGTGTTCCAATTTCCCTAATTGCTTATAAAGTTTTTTAATTGGTTTGTTTGAATCAGAAATGCAGGCAAGGTCCAGGTATTCTGATTGGTGGACTTATCTCTTAATTCTCTTTTTATGTATTGGTTCTCCCAAACACACGAACACCTTGCCTGAACAGCTTCCTGTGTGCACACGCACGCGCGCACACACCCCCACGCACACCCCCCCCAGGAGATACTGATTCGGTAGGTCTAGAGGGGCCTGAGATGCCCAGCAAGTTCCCGGGTGATGCTGATGCTGCTGGTCCATGGGCCACTCTTCTTTTTTTTTTTTTGAATCGAAACAAAATTGATTATACATATTTATGGGCTACAGAGTTGACTATCAGTGTTTGTGTACAGTGTGTGATGATCCAATCAATATTATTAGCATGTTCATCATTACCAATCATAATTATTCTTTGTGTTCCTTACCCAATTACTCCTTAATCCCCATCCTCCTTCTCCTCCCGCTTTCCCACCTCTAGTAACTATAGGTCTGTTCTCTCTTTCTGAAAGTTTAACGTTTTATTGTGGTCTTTCTTGTTTTTCTTTTTTTCTTTCTTAGCTTTCATTTATGAGTGAGGACATGCGGTATTTCTCTTTCTGTGCCCAGCTTATTTTACTTAACATAATTTTCTCCAAGTTCATCTATGTTGCTGTGAATGGCAGAATTTCATTCTTTTTTATGGCTGAGTAGTATTCCACTGTGTGTATACACCACATTTTCCTTATCCAGTCGTTCATTGATGGACATTTAGGTTGGTTCCATGTCTTGGCTATTGTAAATAGAGCTGTGATGAACATGGGAGTGCAGGTGTCCCTTCAACATGATGATTTCCGTTCCTTTGGGTATATACCCAGTAGTGGGATTGCTGGATTGTATGGTAGATCTTCCTGTAGTTGTTTGAGAAAACTTCATACTGTTTTCCATAATAGCTGTACTAACTTACAGTCCCACCGACAGTGTAGAAGGGTTCCCCTGTCTCCACATCATCACCAGCATTTGTTGTTCTCAGTCTTTTTTTATAATAATCAGAGCAAAAATGATTTTTAAAAAAATATCTCATGGACTATTCCTCCGATAGTGCTCCTATAGAGTTTCCCACAGGCTGGGTCTTGCTGGCTGCATCCCCTGTGGTGTCATTTAATATGTCCCTCTGTCCCCTGTATTTCCTGTAAACAACTGGTAGGTAGCTCTGGAGGCTCAGCCAGATTCAGGTTCAATTTTTTGGCAAGACAACTTCATAGGTGGTGTTTTGTTCTTCTCTCAGGAATGACTCAATGTCTGTTTGACTCTCTTTTTTATCAAGTAAATTTTAACCCTTAATCTGACTCCAAATCTGAGCCAAATATCCGGTGAGACCCAGCCTCACCTGACCTACTCAGGTGGGCTCGGGGGCCAAGGTTTGTGGAGAAAATAAGTAAACATAGCCATGGGCCCACACAGAACAAAATCATCTTCAAAGAGCTTTCACACTGTCTAACTCTTCTGATGCTCACAACAGTCCTTTGGAGGATGGATGGATGTGGCCGGTAGTACCATCCCAGTCTTCCAGAACCAGAAGATTTGTGACCTCACCAAGACCACGTATCTGGGTGGCAGCCAGGTTTCTCACTCCCCGCCCCACACTGTCTACCCTCCGCACAACTGTGCCTCTCTCAGGTGACTCCCCTGCCGTTCCCCCTCTTCTAGGACCCAGATCAACTTCACAGTGGCCATTGATTTCACTGCCTCCAATGGTGAGTCAGGGGCTGGGCAGAGGGGCAGGGAGGGGGAAGGGGGTCTTTTAAGGGCTGTGGCGATTGACCTTGGCTGGGAGCCAGGTCCCTCATACTCTTTGGCCTCTTCCTCATGAAAGAGGACATGCCGAGGTCTGGGGGACCAAAGATATGACCAAGCGGCAGAGGTATCCTGAGGTTGGACCACCGACACTAACACAAACACATCTGGGCCCTGGGGCTACATACCCTGAGCCATAGCCTTGCCCCTTGCACCCAGTCTCCCTGGCAGAATGGGACAGTGCATACTCTGGGCCCATGGAGAGCCCTGGAGAAGAGACGTTTCCTCCCAGGATAAACCCCACCTCCTCTGTGTATTACCACCTGCAAGTCGGAGGGAAACTGGAGCCAAGACTGAGTTCTGTGGTCCTCAGGGAGGGCAGGAACCCAGCCCAGCAGCCTCAGACCCTACCTTTGCTGGGGCTGCCCTGGCGTCCTTCCCTTCTCTGAATTTCTCCAGTGTCAGGCTATGGCCAAGTCGTCAGGAGCAATCATGATGCCAAATTTTACAATGTTGGAAACATCAAAACCTAATCCGGGTCCTGGACCCCTATTAGGGGTGCTCAGTGCTCATTTCTGTGCTGGTCAGAAGATGTTAAGTCTCACACTCCTCAGGTGTATCCAAAACCCTCTTATGGCTGCAGATTCTAGCATCACAGAGGGCTGGACTGTCAGAGCTAGGAGGAGCCTCGGTGATAACAACATTGGTGATAGTTACAATAATAACGACTGGTTAATCCTGACAGCAGTCCTGTGAGGTGGGAACTATTATTGTCCCCATGTTACAGATAGGACGCTGAGGCTGAGAGGTTAAGGAGCTTATTCAAGGTCACACAGCTGGCAGGAGGCAGAGACAGGATTGGTACCTGGGCAGTCTGTGCTGTACTGCCTCCCACGAATGAACAAATCAGCAAAGAATGGACTGCATTCGTAGTGACAAGGGTTCTGGGGAAAATCACACCAGGAAGAGGGATGGGGAGTATTGGGGGAGGCTGTAACTTTCCATAGGCTGCTCAGGGAAGACCACACTGAGAAGGTGACACTTGAGCAGAGACCTGGTGAGGTGAGGGAGTGGGCCATGTGGACATCCAGGGAGAAGTATAAAGGGAACAGTCATTGCCAGGGGCCTGAGGTAGGAATGGCGAGAGGCTGGGACTGAGTGAGTGACAGGAGGATGGTGGGAGACGAGGAGAGAGGCAGCTGCAGGCCAGATCATATGGGGCCTTGTGGGATCTTGTATTCTGGGTGAGATGGGAACACTGGAGCATTCCGAGCAGAGGAGAGGCATGATCCATGTGACGGAGGTTGGACGGGCGGGCTCCTGCCAGTGCACTGAGTATGGACTGTAGGCGCAAGGGCGGAAGGAAGCAGGGTTAGGAGGCTGCTGAGATCCTATTACAAGAGGATGGGGGTGTCCTGAAGGAGCAGGGTAGAGGGTGGGATTCTGGATCTGTTTTGAAGGTTCAGCAACCATAATTTGCTCAAAGATTGAATGTGGGGTAAGAGAGAAAGAGAGGGTTAGGAGGCTGCTGAGATCCTATTACAAGAGGATGGGGGTGTCCTGAAGGAGCAGGGTAGGGGGTGGGATTCTGGATCTGTTTTGAAGGTTCAGCAACCATAATTTGCTCAAAGATTGAATGTGGGGTAAGAGAGAAAGAGAGGAGTCAGGATAAATAAACGGAAGTTAGGGGTGACCTTGGATACCCCCTTCTACGTTCTGAACCTGGGGAGGCTTGGAGGCTGCAAGTGTTCCCACGTCCTGTGTTGCAGGGAACCCCTCACAGTCCACGTCCCTGCACTACATGAGCCCCTACCAGCTGAACGCCTATGCACTGGCGCTGACGGCCGTCGGGGAGATCATCCAGCACTACGACAGCGACAAGATGTTCCCTGCCCTTGGCTTCGGGGCCAAGCTGCCCCCTGACGGCAGGGTGTCCCACGAGTTTCCGCTGGTAGGAGGTCCTGGGAGAGAGGGCTGAGGGCTGACCAGGCTGGGAGTGTGGTGACAAGCCTGGGGGTTAGGATGGGGCGGGTGCATCTCCTATTCTCCAAGCCTAGGGACTTAAGCTGCACCTCCCTGTGGGAGACTGCCTATTGTGTGTAAGGGGCTTGTATTAAGGCCTCCAGAAACCCACTCCCCTCCCTGCTCACAAACACCCCCCTTCCACGTCTGAAGCTGCCCACAGCTGTCCACGGCCTCCTTGTTTGTTCATCACAAGACGCAGGTGGAGGTGGAGGGCAGCTATGGCTGCACTAGCCCCGGGGCCCCAGGACAGAGGGTGAGGAGGTGTGGGTTGGCTGTGGGTGATTCCAGAGTCCCCAGTCAGTGCTGAGATAGGATGAGGTGGGTTCCCTTGGGATGATGTGGAACGTGGCATTATCTGGGGGTCCTGGGCCCTGTGGAGACCATGCCTCAGGACCCCTCCTCTCCCTCCTTCACTCCCATGAACTGGATACACTCAGTCAGTGAAAGTCCCTTCCAGGCTACCGACATGCTGGGCACAGGATACATGAGGACCTTCTTGAGTTACTCAGACCCAACCATCATTTTAGGGTGTGGTGGGTTTGCCTAAGGTTTCCTGAGGGAAGCAGCCAGGGCTCTCAGGGGGCCATTCTAAGCAGGTACAGGGAATGGGGCATGGAACAGGTTTGGACCCTGCTTGCTTGCGGAGCATGGGCTGCCCTGCAAGTCCCCTCCCCTGCCCCGCCACCCAGGCCTGCTGGCCTTCTCGACCCTGGCTCTGTTCCCACAGACCACCTGCCACCCTCCTTCCTTGCTGGGCTCAGCCCTCTCACCCTCTGTGCCCCCAGAACGGCAACCAGGAGAACCCCTCGTGCTGCGGCATTGATGGCATCCTGGAGGCCTACCACCGCAGCCTGCGCACAGTGCAGCTCTATGGCCCCACCAACTTTGCCCCCGTGGTCACCCACGTGGCCAGGTGAGTGCCAGGGTCGATCGATCCCTCCCAACCACTCACAGGACCTTTGTTTCCACGCCTGCTGTCTCTGGATGGTGGAAGGGGCCATCCCATAGACTCGCCTTTCAGGAGCCCTGACCCTGAAGCTCTGTGCTCACCAAATGCTCGGGGTCCTTGTTGGGGGGACCTGCCCACAGCCCCCCTCCCTGACAGACCTCAGCCCGTCCTGCCCCATCCAGGAATGCGGCGGCCGTGCAGGACGGCTCCCAGTACTCGGTGCTGCTCATCATCACTGACGGGGTCATCTCGGACATGGCGCAGACCAAGGAGGCCATTGTCAACGTGAGCCGGGAAGGGGGAGGGCAGGGTGGAGGGGATGGCAGGAGGAGTCTCTTCCTCCCCCTTAGGGGAAACTGAGGGGCGTGCCTCCCCCTCTCTGTAGGGAAACACTGGGGGGTGACGGAGTGTGGCTTCTCCCGACTCCCTTGCTGGGGCCCCTGCCCTCATCCACCCCTGGCTTCTGGCTGCAGAGTCTGGTGGGACTTTTGGGGAGGGCTGGGCAATGGGATTTGGGTTTGTTGAACTCTGTACCCACCTCGTGGTCACACTGGGTGGGTCACCTCCCCCCACTAGGCGCCCGTGGCTCCCTCACTGATCCTTCTCTAGAACTGCTGCCCCAGCCCCCAGCCCCGCCTGGCGGGAACGTGGCTCCCTCTACCCTGTGGTCTCCTAAAAGGGGCCCCACCCGCAGCTGCGCTGGCCCTTCCTCAGAACCGTAAAAGAGGGGTCCCACATGATGGAGGCCAGCAAGTGGCAGAAGAGGGGACGAGGGTGGCTCATAGAAGCCAGACCTGTGACTGTTTTCCCCTCTGCCTCCCTCCCTCTCGACCCCCTCTTCCTCTCTGGACCCCTTTCAATTTCCCTTGGCCTTTGTTTCTGGTGCCCTCTGTCCCTCTCCCTACCCCTTTTCTGTGTTTCTCTGTGTCTCTCTATTGCTTCCTCGCCCATTTCTTCCCTGTGCCCTGCCTCTCTTCTGTCCCTACCACCCCTTTCTGTCCCTACCCACCACCTCCCTTTCTTTTAACTGGCCCCTGCTGGGTCCACCCTTCACCACCCCTGTGTGGTCTCCAGGCTGCCAAGCTCCCCATGTCCATCATCATCATTGGAGTGGGCCAGGCGGAGTTCGACGGTGAGTCCAGCCGCAGCCTGCCTCTTCTCCTTCCCTACCCCCACCCTGGGTGTTTCCCCAGAGGCTCCAGGCCCCTGGGAACCACCCTTCTTAAAACAGTGGGAGCTCACGCCTGGGTGTGTGCGACTGGCTGGGTGAGTGTGCCAGGTGTGAGGGTGCGTTTGTTTGCACAGGGAGGGGTGGGTCAGGGTGTGTGCCCACGCCCACACCCCAAGGCTATGGGGAGGAGGCCCCAAGTCATTCCTTTCTCCTCCAATCCTGGGAGCCTGGAGAGGGTGGGGGAGCAGAGCACTGGGCCAGAAGTCAGAGGATCACCTGGTTGGGCCCCTCCTGTCTCCTGGCCTTAGTTTCCCCATCTCTAACGTGTGGGCATGGGTTGACAGTCTCTGCCCTGGATCGGCCTGGGATTGGAGGGCAAGTCCACCATCCTGACAGGCCCACCATTAGTCCCCCCAACCCGATGCCGCTCTTCCCCACACAGCCATGGTGGAGCTGGATGGTGATGACGTGCGGATCTCTTCCCGGGGGAAGCTGGCAGAGCGGGACATCGTCCAGGTGAAGCCCAGTGTCTGCCTGCTCCATGGGAAATGCAAGAGCCCCTCTAGCCAAGCTGACCTCACACCTCCTTCTGGGGTCTTCCTTGGGGAGGGGCCCTGGAGGGTGGCACTGGGAGCCCCAGAGTGGCCTGGCCACCACAGAAGGAACAGGAGTCAGTCCTTGCGTCACACTTCTCTCTGGGCCGGATCCCTCCCTTCTGTCTGAGACTCACTCCTAACATTGTTGGTGCCCTGACCCAGACAATCTGCCAGTGCCCCTGAGCCCCCAGGCCTGTGTGGCCATCCGCTTTGTTGTCTCCTGCCTGGTAGCCTTCCTGGTGAGATGGCAAAGCCGTTGAAGGTGGAGGCCGTTTCTTTGCTGTTGCCGCAGACCACTCCAAGAACGGGCATTGCCTGGTTGATTGAATCAATGTCCTAACATCTCCCTGTAGGACGCGAATGTAGTAGCCAGAAAGGTCTTTGTCCTTGGGGAGTTCCCATCCAGTCAGGCAAAAGAGCACACTCATCCTCACTGAATCTCCTGCAGACTGAGTTCCTAGTGCTTAGGAGATGCAGAATAAAAAACTGACATTCTCCATACCCTCTGGGTTTAAAAACTGGGGAAGAGCATCCTAGGTGTGGAGATCACAGATAAGGGGCTGAAAACCAGAGCCAGGGCAGTCTGGGAGGTGGGACCGGCTCAAGCAAAGGCCTGGAGGAGTGAGCCTGAGGCACTTGGGGTGGGAGGCAGCCCTGGGAGGAAGCCAGAGGGGCCTGATTAGCCCCAGAGAGAAAAGGGAAGGAGGGCCAAAGAGACAGAGTGGGCTTACCTGGAGAGGTGGGAGGAGACCAGGGAGGGCATGTGTCTCAAAAGTCAGGGGATTCATTTCCTGAGCACCTACTAAGTGCCTGTGCTTAGTGCCAGGACTTCAGGGATTAAGGAATCTTGTTCAGTGATGTATCCTGGCATGGAACAGGTGTTCAATAATGAATTGTTGAGTGAATAAAAGATACTTGAGAAAGTTCATGGAAAAATAGAAGTAAAAGATAATACAAATCTTTCCATGAACTTTTTAAAGTACCCTAGTAGTGACTAGGACACAGTCCCTCGAGGAACTCACCAAGGCGGGGATTGAGTGAAGTGAGCAGAAGCTGGGAGGGGGGCGGGGAGATGTCCCCAGGCCTGGAGATTTCAGGAGCTGGGGTCCAGCAGGAGGCACTGCCTGACTCTACCTTCCCGCCTGCCAGTTCGTGCCCTTCCGGGACTACGTGGACCGCACAGGCAACCACGTGCTGAGCATGGCCCGCCTGGCCCGCGATGTGCTGGCAGAGATCCCCGACCAGCTGGTGTCCTATATGAAGGCGCAGGGCATCCGCCCACATCCCCCACCTGCGGCACCCACACAGTCGCCCCCACAGTCCCCAGCCCACACGCCCCCTGCCTCCCCCCTGCACACGCATATCTGAGCCTGGCCAGAAGCCAGCCGATGACCGGGGCCCAGGCAAGGCTAGTAGAGCTGTAGGGTCCCCAGATTCCCTACAGTAGGCTCTGCTCAGCCCTTGGGACATCTGTGTGCCTGGGAGGCTGGCAGAGGGCGAGGCATCTGGAGACTCTTCCCCAATTACCTGGCCTCAAGACTCAATCCCAGGGAGTTGGGGATACAGGTAACAGAGGGGTACAAAGGGTTTTGGGTCTGGGGTTCTGGGCCCTAGCTCTTCTCTTCTTCCCCTGATACCTGGCTCTAGCCTATCCAGGAGGTGTTAACAATGGGGATGACTGGGGTCCCCCAGCCCACCCTGGGCAATCCCATCTGCTCACCTGTCACCCTGAAGCCTGATCTGGGCCTCCCTCTTCCAGTCCCACTTCTTCCTCCCGTCCGCCTGTGGTGTCTACTCCTATCCTGTCCCCTATTTCCAGTGAACCCTCTGAGGCTGATGGATTTGCAGGAAAGTGTGAACGTGTGACCCCTCCCAGGGACGGTATGCAGTGGGAGCCCTGGGGACCCATGGGGGGCTGTAGGGGTGAACCGTAGGCCATGTGATGGGCCAGGAAGGAAGGCTTTTCAGTACACAGTCCTCTCCGGTGCCTCTCAAGCCCACTATGTTGCTGATTCTAGACACACAGGTCCACGGGCCTCTCCTGGGTATGGGCCCACAGGCACTTCCACAGTTGACTCCTGGCTCCAGGCGTCCCCTCCTGTGCAGGGTCCTGGGTGCCCTCTCCTCTGCTGCCCACCTGGAAGCCTGGGCAAGGAGCAGCATAGCCCCCACACTCCCACGCTGCTCCTGCTCTTTGCCCTTCTGTCCCGCGGGGATAGGAGACAGGAGTCCTGAGTTTGAGCCTACTGTGGGAATCCTAGCAAGGCCCTTCTACCTTCTGGGCCTCAGTTTCCACTTCTGTATGGTGAGAGGGTTGACCAGGTGTCCTGGGTTTTCCTTCAGCTCTGACATCCTGACAGTCCATTCATCCCATGCCCACCCACCCCCATCCCACTCCTCACCAACGTGACTCTCTACCCCAGGCCATCTTGGCTCTAGGGTCACCCTGTTCCATCCTGCCACCCCAAACACACCCCTGTCCTTCAGCCTTGGGCTCTGGCATCTGAGCCTGAGCTTCTGCCGCTGCTGTGGAAAAGGTGGGAGAGGGGATCTCACTCTTGGGCCGCCCAGCCCTTACCCCCTTGGGGAGCAGGTCGTGCATGCTGTCCCTCCCGCCGCATGGGGCTCCGCGGCCCACTGATCTCAGTGCCTGGTGGAGACCAGGCCCCGCCCCATCTGCTGCCCTCCTGTCATGCATGCTGGTGGTGTTTCTGCGCTCTCTGGTCCTGTGCCCATCTCTGAGACTGTCTCTGTGTGGAATTTGCCTTAAACTGAAATAAATTTGGTTCTTTTACTAAAGGCCCTTGTTTTCCTTTCTTCTGTGAAAAACAGGACAGATGTTGCTGCTCAACAGAATCCAGGTTCTCCTCTCCCTTCTTCCTTCAATTCTTTAGTTCAGTTTAGTTTTACTGAGCGATTACCCCATGCCAGCCTCCGTGCCAGGCACCAGGGATGCAACTGCGAACAAAACTCCGTCCACATGCAGCTTTCAACAAACACACAAACAAGACAGAGACACACAGTAAGCACATGAACAGGCAGGTAAATAACATAATTTTAAATGGTGACAAGAGTTAGAAAGAGAAATAAGACAGCATAAGAGGATACAGGGTGACAGTAGTGACTGAGTGATGGTCGAGGTGAGCCCCAAGGAGATGAGACAGGGGCCGTGCTGACATCTGGGGGAAGAGGGCTCTGAGGAGAGGGACTTGCAAGGGCAAGGGCCCTGGGGCAGGAGCGTGCTTGGCATGCTTGAAGGAGAGCAGGGAGCCCGACGTAGTCGGAGCTGAGTTAAGGAAGGGAAAGCACAGGAGACGGGGTTGGAGAAGTGAAGTAGCCAGAATGCATAGGGCCTTCGGCATTGTCAGGGACGACAAGGAAACAGGGAGCTATTGAAGAGGTGAGAGAGGTAACACGATCGAATTTTTCTCTAAAGCAAATGGATCACTTTATTGCATGTGATCATTTATTCACTCATCTCTCAACAAGTATTCACCTCCACCCTCTGCTCTGGGGCACTGAGCAAGGAAATCCTACAACCATGGGGATGCCAAGCCAGAAGGAGGGGCCAGGGTCTGTGGGCATCAAAGCGAGTTCCTAGCCCAGCCTGGGTGACTCACAGGCCATGTGCCCTTGACGAGTTACTACTCCTCTGTGCAATGGGGTCATCACTCCCCCATCGCAGGATTATCACACAGTCAAAGAGTGACAGGTAGGTATGTGCACGTGACGTGTGTGACATGTGCCCAACACCTGCTGCACGTTAAGTGCACAAGAAACACTGTTTTCCTCCTCGTTCCTCCTCATGTGTGACCATCAGGGACCAAGGCCACAGGGAAAAGGGACTTCTCCCTTCTCCAAGCAAGGTTGTTCTTACATTAGCCCTCCAGGCAGCCATTCCCAACCTGCACGTCACAAGGAATTTAGTACTAATTATACCCAAGTTTGGGATTTGTTTACTTCTTCTGATTTTATAGTAAATTAGAGCTGATTCACGGCTGTCCCTATAATTGGATGCCCCTCTGACTTGCATTCGGATACGCTTTGAGTGGGAATGGGTGGGGTCACAGCTCAGGAGGAGTGAAGTTCCCATAACCAGTGGCCCATTTTGTCTCACCTTGGGCACCGTGGGAAAGTGTCAGGAGGAGATGCCTGCCTGGCAGCGGAGTCAAAGCTCAGCACTGATGCTGAGACATGAAGCCAAGAGCACCTTTGTTGTTCCCAACACAGTAGCATCTCTCCTGGGTTCCTTCCCAAGGTGTGTGCCACAGAAAACTGATTCCTGGGCAGGAAGTTTGGAAACTGCCTGCTCTGGGCCCCTCTCGGAGAGTCTTAAAGGCCTTTAGGGTACTCAAGGCTTTGATAAGTCCCATAACAAGGAAACCAGTTTGACTTGGGACAACCCAATGTGTCCCAAGCTTATTGGCTATGGAGGTGGTGTGTGGGAGGTGGGGTGTGTGTGTGTGTGTGTAGATGGTAACACTATCGCCAAGCCAAACATGCTGTCTTAGGAATTTCTGTAGACAATCTCCCTGTTTGCCAGGCCAACACAGAAGCCCAAGGCCTGCTCCAAGGAGGCCAGAGGGAGGGCACAGAGGTGGGAGCTTCCCCAAGGAGATGGGGTGGGAGAGAAGGGGACCTGAGTTGAGTTCTGGAAGAAGGAAAGGGCCTTGAAAGAGGCCACTGCCCCAGCCACTTCAGGGAGAAGAGAAACCACAGAGAAGAAAGGAGGATATTCAGATATTTTTTTTTTTTCCTTTTTTGTCTTTTTTACTGACCGGTAACGGGATCGCAACCCTCGGTGTTGCGCCCGCCCCGTGCTCAGCCAGTGAGCGGGAACCGGTCTCCACATGGGATCCAAACCCTCGGCAGGAGTGCCGCCACGCTCCCAAGCGGTGCACTCTCCAGTGCGCCACCGGGCCGGCCCAAATATTCAGATATTTACAGGTCCAGACTCATGGCTCCATAGTTGACTTTGTTTTTGTTCCCTTATTGGGCTAAGGGGTGTGTGGGAGCCCTGGAAGGGGGTGGGCAGAGAAGGGAGAGGCAGCTGAAAGGCTCTCCTGAGCTCTGGGCCCCCATCCAGGCTGCAGCTGCCCCGGCCCACCCCCCACTCAGTCCCCTGGCCTTCAGGACCCCAGGTTGTCAGCCCCCAGATCATTTCTCTACCCACTTCTCTGCTTTGGAAGTCCCTTTACCCCCTTCTTGTCCATTCATTTAAAATGCCCCTGAATTAATTAAAAATAATAATAATAATACTTATAGTAGTAGTAATGACCAACACTCATATGGACTTACCAAGCACCAGGCACTCTTCTAAGCACTTCACACATGTTAGGTGAATTCATCTTCATATCAACCCTGTGAAGAAGGTATTTGCATTATCCCATCTTCCAGCTGAGAAAACTGAGGCACAGAAAGGTTAAGGGCCTTACTCAAGATCATGCAACTAGAAAGTGGTAGAGCCTATAGGTATCTGAGCCTCGAAGTAGAATGGGAGGATGGACCTAGTTATCTAAAGATGTGAGCTCTAGCTGAACCATTTAGCTGTGATATGACCTCTGCTAGGCTGCCGTCTTCTGAGGATCTCACTCTCCCCACAGCAAAATGGAGGAGGTGGGCTCTAATATCACTAAGATCCTCCCGTTGCCCTTGAATCTCAGCCCCCTGGCCAGCCTATCCTCTCAGATACGCGCCAGGCCCCATAGGCCTCCTGGGGCCCTGTCATGGCCAGGCTGGGCTCTCCATCACCATAGCAGCCCCTCCCACACCCCTGGGATGCCTGGCTATCGTCGGCCTGCAGAAAAGCCTCCTAAGTCCTGCCCAGAAGGGGCGGGAGAGGTAGAAGCAGAGGAGGGGGCTGACAGCACAATTGGAGTAGGCTAGGACGGTGCAGAGGCTGGAGGCCACGAAAGCCACCGGTGTGGCAGGCAGGCAGCCCATGTCCACTACGCAGCCCAGCATGGAGTGGGGCCCCCACATCAGCACGAAAATCACCAGCACCACGAGGATGAGCCCTGTGTTCTCCCGGTGCTCCTGGATGCTCTCCCCCGTGGGACCACGGGGCTGTGTCCACAGGAGCCAGCCCACGTGGCTGAAAGAGCAGCCTAGCTCCAACACGAAAGGTAGGAGGGCCAGGGCTCCAGCAGGGTGAAGTAGCAGGAGGTCTGAGCAGGGCTCGGGAACAAGCGGCAGGCCCAGGCCTCAGGGGCTCCTGAGGTTTCCTCTTCCAGTACTACTCGCTGGGACAGCCATTTGGGCAGGATGCGGTGAGTCCCCAAACCCACATGGCCCCACAGAGCAGCAGGCGGGCACCCTGGCTGACTGGGAGGGCCACATCAGGCCAGGCCACGGCAACATGGTGCAGAAGGGTCGTGGCCACCATGCTGTAGAAGGTGCAGAACATGGTGGCTGTGTTGGTGGCCTGGCTGCTGGCGCCGATGACAGGGCCCAGCCACCAGTCGTGCCGTAGGAAGCTCAGCAGCGGCACGGGCACCACGCAGGCCAGGAAGAACAGGTCAGACAGTGTGATGTTCACCATGAGGCTGTTGGTCAGGGCGAGGAGCAGCCGGGGGGTGCCGGGGCCCAGACCCACCACCAGCAGCATGAGCCCATCGGCTAACAGCCCCACCAGCAGGATGAGGCCGCAGACCCCGGCAAAGATGAGTCGGAGCTGCTCAGGCATGACCGGGAGCCCGGTAGTGAACGTGGCATTGGGCTCCATTCTCCTGTTTCAGACACACAAGGACAGCATAGAAAGCAGCCCTGAAGGCCACATCCCCCATTCCTGTGGAGGCCCCTGCTGTCACAGACCCCTGTGTACAGTGGGCCCAGACACGTGCCTGTGCTTGGTACATGCTGGCCCCTTCAGACCTCACAACAACCGGTCGGACAAGTCCTAACTCTGCTACTCAGCAGCTGGGTGACCTTGGGAAAGTTACTTCATGTTTCTCTACTCCAGTTTCCTCAACTGTAAGAAAGTGAGGAAATAAAACAGAAGTCAACAGTAGCTGGCACTAAGGGGTGAGATTAAGGTAATTTCCTTTTTCTTCTTTATAATATCTTTTTTTCTAAAATTTCTTAGGGAAGGGCCGCCCTGTGGCTCACTTGGGAGAGTGTGATGCTGATATCACCAAGGCCACGGGTTCGGATCCTATATAGGGATGGCCGGTTTGCTCACTGGCTGAGCGTGGTGCTGACAACACCAAGTCAAGCGTTAAGATCCCCTTACCGGTCATCTTTAAAAAATAATAATAATAAAATAAAATTTCTTAGGGAGTACAAATTGCTTTTATGATTTGATAAACAAATATTACATATACAGTTGGTCCTTCATATCCATGGATTCCACATCCATGGATTTAACTAACTGCTGATAGAAAATATTTGGGGAGAAAATAATTGCATGTGTACTGAACATGTACAGACTTTTTTTTTCTTGTCGTTATTCCCTAAACAATAGAGTATAACAGCTATTTACTTATAATTTGCATTGTACTAGGTATTACAAGTAATCTAGATATGATCTAAAGTGTATGGGCGGATATATGTCAGTTCTATGCAAATACTACACCATTTTATTTTATTTTATTTATTTATTTATTTATTTTCCTTTTTTGTCTTTTTTCGTGACCGGCAACGGATTGCAACCCTCGGTGTTGCCCCCGCACCTCGCTCAGCCAGTGAGCGGCTGGTCCGTATGTGGGATCCGAACCCTCAGCGGGAGCACTGCCGCACTTCCCAAGCGGCGCACTGTAGCAGTGCGCCACCGGGCCGGCCTACTACACCATTTTATATCAGAGACTTGAGCATCTGCAGATTTTGGTATAGGAGGGAGGTCCTGGAACCAATCCCCCACAAATACTAAGGGACAATTGTGTGTATATATATAAACAAAACCCTGCCCTATGAAATGGGCAAATTTAATTTGAGGTTCAAATGAGAAAGTGGGCATGAAAGGGCCCATACCAGTGGTTCCCAAGCTTGTGTGCACATTGGGGATCTCCTGAGGCGTTCCAAAAATACTGAAGCCTGCATCCCACCCCAGAGACGTGATTTAGTTGGTCTGGGCTTTGGCATTTTTGAAAGATCCCAGGTGATTCTAAGGGGAGGACCAGGCTGAGGATTGCTGCCCTCTGGGCTGGGCTGTGCCAGTCCCAGCCAGCATAGGGTGAAGCCCGCACCAGCCTTCGTAACTTCTTTGTCACCCCCCATCCCACATGCTGAGGACATGGGGAGCCCCTGTTGAGAGGACTCTGTCTAGGAAGTGGGATCTAGACATCCTAGAGTTAGCCCAAGAGCTGACACCACCATTGGCCACCCCGCAGACCAAGCCAGGTCCCCAGAGCAGGAGAGGCCTGCCTGTTAACAACTACTTCCTGAGCATTTACTCCATGCCAGGTACTGGGGAATCCATCAGCACACACAACAGCCTGGGGCTGGGGGGAGGCCTGACTGGAGTTCCCCCTGCTTTTCCCTTACACGGGGGTGGGGCTGGAGAGACCATTTTCTGGCTGGCTCAAAGCCAGGCTGAGAGTCCCCTGGGCTCCTCCTACAGAGCCCCTGCCTGGGGACTTGCTTGGTGCTTGAGGCTCAGCTTACCCAAGGGCAGCCGAGGACAGACTAGAGAGGGAGGCCTCTATGAATTGTGATGCCAACACCCTTCCTGGGTCCCAGACTCTGGTTCCAGGGACTGCAGGGGGAGCAGGAAATGAGGACCAGCCCAAATACCCCAACTGCCCTGCATGAATGCCACTTTGCTGGAACTCATCATTGACTTCTCTTTTTCTTTTTTTTCTAATTTTACTTCATCATATACGATGTAGTTGACTTTCATGTCTCTTTACCAATTCCTCCTTTCCCCCTTTCTCCCTCCCTTTCCCATCAACATCATATCTATCCACTTGTCTTAAGTTCAAGGAATTGAGATTGCTAAGTCTTCTTCCCCCCGCCCCCACCATTTATTTGTATGTATATTTATTTATTTTTAGCTCCCACAAATAAGTGAGAACATGCGGTATTTCTCTTTCTGTGTCTGGCTTATTTCACTTGTCATTGACTTTTCATTTTTGCTTCCTGCTGCAAACTTGCCAACAACAGGGAATACTACTGGAGAGGAGGTGAGGGGGTGGTGAAAGGCTTGAGAACCCCGGCCCCTGCTCAGCAAATCCTCCACATCCCCCTAAAAGAAGCTCCATAACTCAAGGGTTAAGTTTGTGGGTACTAAGCCTGGCTTCAAAACCCGGCCCCAGCATTTCCCAGCTATGTGACTGTGGACAAGTTACTCAGCCTCTCTCTGCACCCTTTTCCTCGTCTGTGAATTGGGGAGGACGACAGGCCCAGTCTCACAGGGTTGATGTGAGGATTAAATGAGGTGATAAGTGCTCAGACTGGTGCCTGGCACATGGAAGGTGCTTGGTAAGTGATGGTCGTCATCCCACCCCTGCCCACCCTCAGCTCCAAAAAGCTCTCCTCCCAACACCCCTGCCCAGCCTCCATTCTGTCCCCTAACCCCTTCTCATTCCACAGCGAGTCCCATCAGCCCAGTCCCACCCTCCTTTTCTTAATCAGCCTCAAGTTGAGTTGCGAGCAGAGCCCCTTTATCTGACATGCCCTAAGAACTTACCACTTGCCTGGAAGTTCACTCTGAAGTCTACCTTGAGTCTCTCCTGATGCTGTCCTCATCCACCTTGTGCTTCTCTGAGGCTACTGGGTCCTGCTTGCTGACTCTTGAGCCCTGTGACCCCGGGAAAACCTGGTGGCCCATGCACAGCTGTGCTCTGCCCAGCAGATAGATCCAGCCAGAGAAAGCCAAGAGAGGGTTCTGTGCAGGTGTGCAGTCTCTTTCAGCACCCCACCGCGAGGAAATCTGAGCTAGCTGCTCTGCCTTCCTGCCTCATTAACTCCCTGGTCCACAGGACAGAGATGTTGGTGCCTGCCAGGCCCCCAGACCCCCCACCCTCTGCCAGGGCTGGGCATCACTCACTCCAGCCCACACCTCTCTCCCTCTCTGAGCACACCACAGCCTAGAAACTGCTCAAAGCAGGGGCAGGCTTATGGGCTGGGGGAATGGGGCAGAGAAGGTAGAAGACATTGGGGTACAAAAGAACCCATGAGGGACCCAGTGAGAGAAGCAGCTGAATCACGGGAGTCATCCACACATATGGTCTGGAGGTTGAGTGTGGTCTGTTAAGGGCATCTGATCCAACCTTTGGTGGCTTCGGATGCCAGAATCCTCTCTACCTCACCTCTTGCCAAGTGTCACCTGGCTTCTGTCTGTATGCCTCTGGTGGTAGAGGCTCGCTGCTGCTGAGGCATCCCTTTCAGAATTAAGAAGAGGCTGGGGCTGGGAGCTGAGAGACTTTGATTAAACAGGTAGGAGCAAGGTTTTGCCCTCTATCTCCTGAGCTCCCTCTTTCTCCTTCATTCTCTTTCTCTGCAACTCCATCTCTTGAACTGTCTTTGCTTATCTTTCTATGAAACTGGGGCTTCCTCTCATTCCTCCAGTACCCAAATGATTACGAAGTACCAAACTCAGCACCTGGCACACATTGGACACTCGGTTTGTGATGAGCATTATTGTGGTTAATGGTACAATGACAGACATTTGCAACAAACACAGATGATGAGAAATAGCCCAACACTGAGATATAGTCTAAGACTCCCAAAGCAAGCTCCTGAGGCACTGAAAGCCCCAGGCCCAGGTTATAAGGTACAGTCACCTTTCAGGAAGAAAATATTGCACAATTCTGGGAACTCCTGCAAAAACTCCAGAGAAGATTCCATTAGTGATTCTGAGTCCAGGTTCCTGACTGCTCCCCAGGCCCCACCAGCCACAACCCAGTGGCAACTCATGAATCCAGAGATTGACACCCCAGGGTAAAGAGCTGTTCCTGGAGACACCGTGCCTAGTGACAGGGAGCAGGACCCTCAAATGTGACCCCTTAGAGGGGGATCATAGGGAAAAGGGAGTGGGGTTGGGGCTCAGGGAGACAGGAGGACATGGGGACACGTCAGGGGCTATCACTCTTCCCCAGGAATTCTGCTTGGCAGAAACCCCATGCTTGCAAATAGAAACTGCAAGCCAGACGGAACAACGTTCTGCCAGGCAGAACAGTGGGACTGCTTTAATAAAGAGAGTGCTTTGTAATTAACGGGTTATACCAATTAGGAATCAGCACCAAAGCTCCTTGAAAAGTTTCTTTCTTCTTCCTCAATATTTTTTTTTTCTGATTGTATAAGGAATACACACATTGTAGAAAATCTGAAAACACAAATATGTATGAAAAGGAAAACAACACCCCCACACATTCATCCTATAATTTTACTACCCAGAGATGTGTGACTAATATTTTGGTGCATTTTCCTTAAATAGGTTTTCTAGACTTTTTCTTTCTTTAAAGAGTTTTACCACACCCTCAGCCCCAAGCCTTATTTACTTGACACTTCTTTGGGGTGCAAAGAGCAGGGTTAATCCAGCCCCTGGCCTGGGTTCCAGCCTGATTTGAGGAGGATTTTCCTGAACTTCCAAGCTGATCCTCTCCGTTGTTGCTGTGTCCAGGAAGGCAGGACAGGAGCTGAAGGACAGGAAACTCGGGGTGGTGACCACCCTCCCAAGACAGGACAAGCAGTCAGGAGCAGCAGCTGGTCCTCTTGGGTGGCCTCTCAGGGTCCACCTCCACCAGCGAGCCCTTCAGGCGGTCTTCTTGCATCTTGAGTGACCTGTGTCATGATGACCAGGCATCAGCTCTCTCTCACCTCCCAGAAGCAGCATGCAAGGGTCCATGGGTGCAGCTGGGGGCCTGGGGCTTGGAAGCTGGGAGACTGCACCCCCAAGCTCCCCCCACCATCAGCTCTGCCCTTGCCCTGCATGGGCCAGAAAAGCGGGACCACAGAGACAGTAACCTTCTGTCTGTTTTCTGGTATACTTTCAGACACACTGTGTGGCAGGCACTGTGCACGGGACTCATTACGACAAAGAAGCCAACATTCCCTGTCTCAAGTAGTGAGGGAGACAGACAGGCAAAGAGATGGTCACATCCTGGGAAAGATGCCAGGTTGGGGAAACAATATGGAGGGGCATACCAGGTCCTAGAGGAATTCAGGAAGGAAGGAGGTGGTGTGTGAGCTGAGACCCGAGCCATAGACAAGCAGAAGCTAGCAGAAGTGGGCAGAGGACAGCCAAGGCTCAGTGTGAGAGACAGCCTGGGGGATGGGAATTGAGAGAAATCCAAGCCTTTATTCATGATGTATTTACTGTGTGCCAGATGGAACACAGTCCACCTGGTCCAACACTCCCCCCTTACTCAGTTTACTCACTTATTGAGCACCTGGTATGTGCCAGGCCCCAGGTATAGGGGGAGGGGCTGAACAAAACAGACATGGCCCTACCCTCCTGGACAACGACAGGAAAACAGACAAGTGCATATATAATTACAACTTGTCAAGAAGGGCTATGAGGGACACAAACAGGGGGTTGTGATCCAGAAGAGTGGTGGTGGAAGGTGGTGGTCAGGAAGGGCCTCTCGGAGTGTCTAGAGCTTGGTAAGCGCGCGTGCGCGTGCGTGTGCGTGTGTGTGTGTGTGTGTGTGTGTGTGTGTGCGTGTGCACGTGTGTGTGTAGGGGCAGGGGAGATGGCCTTGGAGATGATGCAGGCCATTGTGAGGCATTTGGGTTTTATTCTAAATCCATGGAAGTCACTGGAAGGTTGGGAATAGGAGAGGAACATTCCCTCATCCTGTCCACTTTACAGATGAGAAAACTGAGGCTCAGAGAGGGAAAGTGCCTCGGGGAGTGATACCGCTAATGGGAACGGCCGAGCTGTACAGTGCAGTGCTCTCTCCCTCCCCAGACTGGTGAGCTCTGTTCTTTAACTGGGTGCTTCCAAGGCCCATTTCCTCAGCACAAGCCTTCCCTTCCAAGAGTCAGAAGTGGGTTGATGGCTGCCCCCGAGGATTCTGGGTGGGAGGGGCAATACTCACCGGGCCAGGCTCACCATGGGCTCCAGGATATTGTGACCCAGGGCAGCGCTGCACTCCCCAAAGGAGACCCCTAGCTCCTGCAGGCCAGACAGGGAGGAGCATGGGTGCCTTGGGGGAAACTGCTGAGAGGCAGGTGCAGCCTCCGCCAGCAAAGCCCTGGTCATTGAACAGAGTCCTGCTCAATACCTCCCTCAGCTGACCTCAGTGGGAGAGGCAGCCCCTTCTCAGTGTGGCCCATAGTGCCCAGCTGGGCCCCTCTGCCCAGCACTCCTGCACCTGACTGGTCAAGGTGTCAAAGTTGCCACCCCAGAGACATTCCACAGCCTCTGGAGTGATGGTCGGAAACCTGCATCCCAACGTGGAAAAATGCCTCTGGGGACATTTTTAACCATTAGCTATGTTTTTTGATTTTAATACTTCACTGGGGGAAATATTGGAAGATAGAGTATAAAAAAGTATAAGTACAAAGTATAAACTACTCCTGTTAGCATTTGGGTTTATATTTCCATTCTGCTTTGTATAACTCTTTTATTGGGAGGGGGACGGACTAAATGTCATTGTACTGTAGGGGTGAACCATATGAAATTCATGTTGCTAAGCCCCAGGCAGTCAACTATCAGCAATTTCATATGGTTCCACCTAACCTATATCTAGATGTGCAGCTGCTTTTCTGACTTCATATTAGATTGTAAGCATTTCCTCAACATCCTTAGATTTTTTTCCAGGACAGTATTCCTAAAAGCAAATACTAGCCTCTCATATGAACCTCCACAATTTAACCACCACCCGCTGCCAAATGCTTGTTCTTATAAATAATACTGTGAAGAACATCCTTGTATAAACATGTTTGATTATACACTCTATGTGGGTATCCATTACGTATTCCCTTAGAGACTATTACTTCTGATTCTTCCCTTAGGATAAATTGCTAGGGGAAGAATTACTATGTCAAAGGGATCAGCTACTACTTTTAAGAGAAAAAGTTCCCGCCAACCAGGAGCCACAATGATGACCTCACAATTATGAGAAATGAAAGGAGAAATGGGGAGGAAATACAATATGGAAATGCCAAGAGAGACTGTGTCAGCGGTGGGGTGAGGAGTACGTTTTTTTCCTTTTTATTACTGTCCAGATTTTCTGGAATGTGGTTAAATACTATTCATAAATAAATAGTATCCACTGTCTGGTAGTGGGGCTTTTGATGTGATCTTCTCAAGGAAGAATCTGAGTCTTAAAATAGAATAAATTAGAAGGGTGTATGTTAATTAGAGACCAGAGATAAAATTAAGATTTGATTGGGAATTTTAAGTGATGCTTTTAAAAACCTTTTTACTCTGAAGATATTTTTTATGTAAGTTGGGACATTGTGTGAGAATCTGCTAATTCAACAGTGAAGTTCAATGTCATGACCACCATTACAGTCTCACGTTTGGGTCTAAGGCTGGTCTCCAGAGCCCAGGGTGGGTGGGAGGCAGAGGTGGCCAGGCTGTCGTCCACTGGCTGGGGCACGGGCAGGAATGGGCATTGGGCCCTTCTTGGCTGCCTAGGCCAATGTTACCGCTATTCGCTACCCTCCAGGGAGGTGTCTGCCTAGTCCGGGCTGGGAGAGGGGCAAATGCCCAGTGCTCACCTGGGCCAGTTGCTGCCCAGCTTCAGTGGGCACTTGCCGATCCTCCTCACAGTCTGTCTTGTTTCCCAGGAGAAGGATGACCACCTTGTCCGACCCTGCATCCTGCACACAGACATGTTCCCTTAGCCACAACTGCTGTATGCCAGGTCCCAGGCAGATCTGGCTCTGCCCCCCTAGAAGTTGACAGCATGTGCCCCATGTGTGCCCTCTCCCTGTCACACCCACTTCACATCCTTTTTACCTGGACTCTTCCCTCCAACCCCTATCTTTAGGCAGTGTGCCCCTCTTCCCTGCCTACAAATATCTCACCTATTTTCCAAGGTCACCTCCCCCAGGAAACCTTCCTGGATTGCCCTTGCCCATGCCCCTCTCTTCCTGCCCGTTCTGAACAATCCAGTGCTTGATCACACAGGCTGCCTTGGCACATTTCCTAGTTGTTTCATGAATAATAATAATAGCTTTTGATTACTGAGTGCTTGCTATATACCAGGTGCTGTGCTGAAAGCAATTTTATCAGTTAATCCTCACAATTCTCCTAGAACTCGGAAAATTGAATTTCAGAGAGGTTAAGTTTCTTGTGTCCAAAGTCACAGAGCTGGGATGAGATAGTGGGGATTCAAGCGTAGGTCCTGTCAGACCTCAGAGCCCAGCTCCCCTCCTCACACATTACCTCATTCTGCTTCTTTGTATCTCTTCAATTAGATTAGAAACTTCTGGAGAGAAGACAATACATCCTCCGTCATACTGCTCTGCTGTGCTAGCACACACTGCAGAATTCCATACATATGTATCAAGTAAGTATGTGGGGGAAAGAACTAGAGATGTGTGCACAGAGGAATTATCACCTAGAATAGCACGAGAACTGCTTTATCCTCAGGTGTAAGAAGAAGACATCACAAACAGAGCTGCTGTATATAGGAAAGAAATGTCCATAGGATAAAGGAAGTAGTTTGGTTTGAAGTCTGTACTATGTGGTTGTGGTCTCTTTGTACTACTGAACTCCCTGCTCATCTAGCCACATGCCATCAGTGGGTGGTGTCACCCAAATGTCTTTGATATCATTTGCAATCCTGGGTGAAAAGGAGGAATAGGCAGGATACAAGCACCCTTTGACTCCAAAAATTAGCACCAACCCTGGCAGCCATCTGCTTACCTGGAGACAGTCCAGCCAGTAGCGCACATGGACAAAGCTCTCCTGGGAGGTGACGTCGTACATGAGCACCACCCCATCAGCCTTGCGGAGCAGTGGTCGTGTCATGCTGTGGTACCTGCCCAGAGAGTCCACGTGAAGCCACGCCAGCCATCCTAACCCTAGGCCGTGGCCACTCTGGCCCTCGGCCACTCTGTCTGCAAAGTGGGAGAATTAACCTGTTCTGCCACTAACTAATTTCTTCCCAAACAGAGCATGCATATGCCTTCCTTCTTACAGTGTAGTTATTGTGACAAGGTAACAGTTCTCATGGCTCAGATTTCAAAAGGCAACCGAAGGGCACCCAGTAAAAGTCTCCTTCTCCTGCCCCATCCTGTAGCCACTCAGACCCCTTCCCCAGAGGCAACCAGGGTTATCAGTGTCTTAAATATTTTTCCAGAGGCATTTTATGTATATACATAAATATGCATAAATATGAATATGCGCACACACACACACTTTTCCCCCATTTTCCCCAAATACAATGTAAAATACTTGTCATACTCATTAACATTCAGTGTCCTGCACTTTGTTTTTTTCCAGTTAGCAAGATGTCTTGAAGATATTTCCCCATCAGTTCATAAAGGGAGTCCTCAGTCCTCTTTGTGCTTCATAGTGTTCTACTGTGTGGGTTGATCCTACTTCCTTGACCCAGTCCACTACTGAGGAACATCTAGGTTGTTCTCCATGTTCCATCACATAAACGATGCTGCCATGAAAGGTCTTGCTCCCTTTGTTATTACAATCATGTATTAATTTACCTACAGAACAGATTTCTAGAAGTGGAATTGCAGAGCCAAGGAAGACGTGCCTTTTAAGTTTTGATTCCTAAGTGGAAAGAGGAAGGCCAGTGTTTTCAGGACAGGTGATTGGGAGGCTGTCCCCCGCAGGCCATGTTGGGATGGCCCTAACATATATGCCCTGCGGGGCTGAGGGGCCCTGGGTCTGCTGCCCTGCCTTCTCCCACGTGGGCTTGGCTCTTGTCTCCTTCCCTGACCTACTGAGACCTTACAGGGTAGTTCCCTCAATTTGCACGTGGTTGCCTCTTGCCCAGGCTGCCCTCCGGCCCTCTGTACCCCCAGGCTCTCAGCCTGGGTCCCTGACACCACTGATGTGGACAGTGCCTGTTACCTTTCCTGGCCAGCCGTGTCCCAGAGCTGCAGTGCAAAACACTTGTTGTCCACCAGCAGGTTTTTGATCCGAAAATCCACTCCTAGGACACACAGAAGAGGGTAAGGCCTGCTTTCAAGTTACCATCCAGGACTCCTGGCCAAGGCAGGCCCCAATATACATCCATCCCCAGCACCAGCCATTGTGGGATGGAGCCTTTGGTTTCTGCTCTCCAAATCCCATCTATACTCAAGGGCACACTTCCTCCAAGAAGCCTTCCCAGGCCACCCAGGCACACCATGACGGTCGTGCCAACACAAGGCACCTTGTCTTCCCAACTGCACAGCAATGTTTATTCTTCAGGCCACCCAGAAAACAAGTTTCATTATTTTATTTTTATAATACTCTTTGTTTCACGCTCTAACTATTGCAGGCATCATCCCCCTTCAACTAGACAGCAGGTAGAGAGGCAGCCCAGAGGGGTGGGAGGAGCGCTGGCTTCAGGGATGACCTATGGGGTCGTGGCTATACTGGTTGTGTGGCCTCGGGCAAGTCACGTCACCTCTCTGAGCCTCCCTTTCCTCATCAGCAAGGTGGCAATTTAAGGGGACCTGTGGTTTCAGCTGTCACCAGCAGGCAGCAGCAGGTGCTTATGGGGGTCACCATGTCAGACATTGAGAAAAGTCTCTCCCAGCTCAGGCCTGAGCCCGACATTGCTAATGTTAGGAGAGTCACCTTTCGTTAGCTGGCCAGGGGCCTGCAGTGTGCTTTGCAGCCGCAGGACTCCCTTGGAAAAAGGGTGGGGATGGGGACAAAATAGTCCCCCCACAGCAGCCCCTCCCCCACCCCACCTGGTTTTCTTGCAAAGTTGGGGTTGGCAGGAAGGTACACGCTAAAGGTTCCAAACTTCCCTGGGATTTCACTATTACCTCCGTATTCCCAGAGACAGAAAGAGTTTGGAACAATGGCCACAGGGAGGGGTGAGGCCATGAAATGTGAGGGGCTGGGGTTCAGGGAGATGAGAATTCACTGTGATCATAAAAATTGCCACCTCTCCAGCACTTACTGGAAACCAGGCTGAACCTAATAAGATATAAGTCATTTCATCCTCCTAACCACCTGCAGTGTGGGTCTTTTTAAATTGCCACCTTGTTGATGAGGAAAAGGAGGCTCAAAGAGGTGACGTGACTTGCCCGAGGCCACACAACCAGTATAGCCATGACCTCATAGGTCATCCCTGAAGGCAGCGCTCCTCCCACCCCCCTGGGCTGCCTCTCTACCTGCTGTCTAGTTGAAGGGGGATGATGCCTGCAACAGAGAATGAAATAAAGAGTATTATAAAAATAAAATAATGAAACTTGTTTTCTGGGTGGCCTGAAGAATAAACATTGCTGTGCAGTTGGGAAGACAAGGCGCCTTGTGTTGGCACGACTGTCATGGTGTGGCTGGGTGGCCTTCTGCACAAGGAAGCTGGGAGAAGTGGCAGCCCCAGGAGGCCTGCCCTCAGCAAAATGGCAAAAACAGAAGTTTGTTTGTGTGTAGCATCCACTTCTCTTTACTGCCCTCTTTCCTGAAGGTCTTGGGAAGCCCAGGATCTGCAGGAACCTCTGAGGTTATCCAATCCAACCCCTCTGTGATAACATCCAGCCTCGGCCTAAATGCTCACCATGTAATCTACTGGACAATCTAACAATTCTTGCTTGCATTTAACATTCCCCCAGCACTCCCACCTCCCTGTCACCCCCACCCCCCCAATCCACCCACGAGTCCCCACACTTCCCTGAAACATGTTACAATTTAACCACATAAATTATTAGGAATATAATGCTTTCTCCTCAGGGAATCTACTATTTTCAATAAGTAGCCCCAGGGAGATGACAACGCTGAACCCAAAAGAGGATAAAACTTTTGGTGGGGGGCCATGGGCTTTGTGGGCAGGTGGCCCTGGGTATGAATTCTTAGCTAGGTCTGCAAGTCTCTCCTTTCCTCGTCTGTAAAATGGGGATGGACATGGAAAATGCACATTCAGATATAACTTCATCGGCTCTGGTTCTCCTCCTGGCCCTGTCCTCAAAGGCAGGCAGGCTGTATTTTCAGACAGAGGGGCACTGGAATGGAGGGAGGGTGGCACTGGATGGGCAAGTATGGACTGGGGGAGCCAGAACCGTCCCCTGTGATATTTAAGCTGGAATAGATGACAGCGACCAGGGTGCAATAAAGTGCAGCTGAGATAGGGACGGATTTGGGTCATGCACTGGATCTCAGGTCCTCCCAGCCGGCTAGAAGTGCATGTGGACTTGACCATCTTTTCACAGTTATGCAACCTGTTTTTCTCAACTGAGTTTTGTGGTACCTTCTTACTGTGTAATAACAGGGGAGGCTCAGTTACAAGGAAAGTTACTGTAAGGAACAGACACTAATGGAAGATGCCTGGTGCATTGTAGGGGGTCAGTAAACAGCAGCTTAGGTGATTCATGGTGGCCTTGTAGGCCCTGTGACCCTGCTCAACACCAGGCCAGGTCTGCTGTGGGTTCCCCCTTCTGGAGGGCACTGCATTCCTAACTAGCTCCCCAGGTAAAGATTTTCGGGCAGAGAAAAGTTTGAGAACCTGTCTTCAGCCTCTCTTGTGCAAGGGCCATCATTCATCCACTGGCCTGGCACTGGTGCCCGGTCAGCATGTGCCCTGGCCTGACACAAAGATATGTATCCCTCCATCTTAGTCCCTAAATGGGTCTCCCCTTCGTTCTCTCGAGCTTGCTTTTCTGTAGCTCTAAACAATGTTTAGGCAATATATCCTGCTACTTTTAGGGAGAGGAGGCTTTCTGCTTTGGGCCATTTCTTGCAGGAGCCACTGAGTTAGACACTATCAAATATTTACCTATAATAATAACAACAATAACTAATATTTATTGAGCACTCACTACATGCCAGTATTACTCTAAGAGCTTGACATGTATTAACTCAACTAATCCTTACAAGCACTCTATGAAGTCGGCACTACGGTTGTCCCTGTTATGCAGATGAGGATTTGGAGGCTCCAAGGGGTTAAAAAATTTGCCCAGATTTATACTCCTAATAAGTGGCAGAGCTGGGATTTAAACTCAGGCACCTGGGTTCCTAACTCACCACACTCTACAAATACATTCTTTGTAACACATTCAACTTGCCCAGGGTGACTTCCCGCCAGAGCATGGCTGACTGCCTGGGACTAGTCAGGAGCACATCCAGCCTGCGTGGACAGTGCAGTGGCCTGCCCACGGGCCACGTGGGTGCAGACTCGCTTGTTTTCACCAGCTAGCACTGGCACCTTAATTGCAGGGTGCTTTGTTGATATGGCACACTATAAGCTAATCAAATCAATGCAGAAAAAGCAAATTACCTGTAATTAGAGACGATTAGTGAAATGGTAAGATTATTCCCATATAAAATAATGCCTAATGCAGGGCCAATGGCCAGGGCAGAACCTGCAGCTTCCTCAGGGATGGTTCGCTCTGGGCCTGCTCCAGCTTGTTGGCTCTGGCCCCTGGGTCTCCCTTGCCTCCCAGCTACCCTGTCCTGCTGGGCCCTTACCCACGGTAGCTGCCAGCCCAGTGGCGAAAGAGTCCTGGTGCAGCAGGTGCAGGAAGGATGTTTTGCCCACGTTGGAGTCTCCCAGGAAGATGACATGGAAGAGGTAATCAGGGTCACCCAGAGGCTTGTCAGCCATGGAGTCTCCTGGGGATGGGGTTGGTCTAGCCTCCCCGGAGTCCATTCCTGGGTCTTGAGGCCTGCTCTGTGCCCTTGGCTCCCTGGATTGAGGGGGGCCTGGCTCTCCTTCTGCATGAGCAGTCATGGGTGGGGGCCTTGGTTGAGCTTCCATCTCAGTCATGGTGGAGAGAGATTGTTTGAGTTCCAGGGGCCCTGCTCCAACCCCAGGCTGAGCGATGCCGGGAGGAGAGCCCCTTGGTGGTGACAGTTTTCCAGGAGCAGGGTCTTCTGCTTCTGCCTGAGCCTGCAGTGTGTCAGACGGAAGAGGAACAAGCGGAGTATCTTGCTGGGGGAGTTCTGAATGCCCAATTTCCAGGCCATGCACCTCAACTGACTGCTCTGAACCAAGGTCCTGCCCACCTTGGCCCACTTGTTTTCCCTCTGCAGCCCTGGGTTCCTCTTCTAGACTCTGGTGGGGGAGGGCAGGCAGCCCATCTGGCCCAAGGACCTGGCCGGGAGCTTGTCTCAGCCCCCCAGCATGGCCCTCCTGCACAGCTGAGTCTGGCTTGCCCTGCTCCAGCTCCTCTGTGGGAGCCTGACTCACAGGCTCCAGGCCCTGGGAGGGCTCGGCTGGCCCTGATGTGAGGGCTCTGGCTCCCCGGGACCCTGGTTCTGGCTCAGAGCCAGCATCATGTGGGTCCTGATGGAGGGCCTCTGTCTGCCTGGGTGGCTTGGCTGGGGCAGGCCCAGGCCCGGGCCCCTTGTCATCTGTGTCTGAGGCCTGGAACTGTCTGCTGAGCCCAGCTGGGGCGTGGGGAGGAGAAGAGTTCACATGGAGCGGGGACCCATCCTCCAAAGGAACAAGCACTTTGAGTGCTTCTGCCACCAGGCTTCCTGACACCCCAGCTGGAGTTCCTGGGGGGCCCCAGAGGAAGTGGGCCTCATATCTGAGCCCTAACTTATCATCAGGGTCTAGGCCTTGAGGCTCAACAGGCTGCTCTGGACTGATGTCCTGCCCATCTGGGTCCACTCCTTGCCTGTCCTTGTTCCCAGAAGGCACCCGAGGAGAGCTCCTTGCAGCTCCATCCGGATCTGAAGATGGCTCCTGACCAAACAGCAAAGCATGTGGCTCTGAGATAGAGATCTGCCTGACCACACGGGGCGTCTGCGGGCCTGAAGCAGCTCTCGGGGTTGGGGGTGGACTCCAGGAGAGCTGCAGGGCTCTGTGCGGAGGGCTGCTGAAGCTGCTCAGGAGTTGATCCCAGTCATCGTTGTCCCCAAACAGCCCAGGCAGGGGGGCCTCCTCAGAGGAGACAGCCTGAGGCTCTGGGGCCTTCTCTCCTGCTCTGGGGACACTGGTAAGAAAGCAAAGAAGCAAAGGTCAAGGGAGGGGCAGGTGCAGCCCTCACCATCCACTGCCCGGCCCACACTGCACTGGCCCTCCTCCCAGTCTTCGCTCAGGCGGTCCTTCTCACCCAGCATGCACTCCCCTCTCCTCCCTCCCACCAAATCCTGCTCATCCTCAAGTCCCACATGAAGCCTCACCTCCTCCAGGAAGCCTTCCATAACCATTCTAGCCCATCCTACTACTCTGAGCTATAAGTAGAGTGAGTGTCTGCCAGGGATCCAGGACCGCACTAGGCCCTGTGCATATGTATGTATGTATATGTGTGTTTTAATTCCAGCCATGTGGTCTTGGGCACAAGTCTTTCCCTTTTCTGTGCCTGTTTCTTCATCTGAGAAATGGGTATGATAATCCCAGCTTGGCAGAGTTGTTGTGAGGTTTAAGGAGGGAGCCTGTGTGTGCACTATGTGCTAACCAGAGCCTTGGAGAACTCAGAGCTCCCCTGCCCTCTTCCAGGAAGCCCCTGGTGTCCACCCCAGTCCAGGGATGGCAGCCACTTGCCTCGGTTCCTCCTCCATCTGCCAGGACACTCGGCCCCTGACGGTGTCCAGGTGCCCCCGGGTCACCTGCAGTTGTCCCTGCACCTCCTCCAGCCGCCCAGACAGGTCACGCTTGGCCTCCTGAAGCTGCTGGTTCTCCAAGTTGGCCTCCTGATATGTGCTGCTGAGATGGTGGAGCTGAGCCTCCAGCTGCCGGGTGTGGAGGGCAAGGAGGAGAGAAGCCCAGTTGCCCTAGATACCCCCCAGGCTCCTAGAGACCCAGCTTAAAACATAGGATTAGTAGGGTGCGGTTACCCCTCAGTGGCCTAACTAGCTCTATTACCTCCCACCCAGAAAAGACATTTGAAATGTTGGGGCAAGGAGGAGAGAGGAAACCATGTGAGAAACATAAACTGTCAGCACCACAAGGGCCTGAAACCTAAATCAGATGGCACCCTCCTCTGCACAAAGCCCTGCAATGGCTGCTCCTCCCTGGGCTCCATCTGGTCTGCAGGAGGCTCCTGATGCGACAGCAAATCACATACTCAGATGGAGCACTGCTTGACCATGTGCAGAGCTCTCACAATGGCCTCCAGGGCCCGCAGTCCCTCCCGCCACACCCTCACCTCCTTCGCTACTGCGGCCCCCCCCTCAGTGTGTTCCAGTCCGCAGGTCTGCTCAATGTTCCTCGAACATTCTCAGCACATCCCCACCTCAGGGCCCCTGTGTTTGCTGTTGCCTCTGCCTGAATGCTCTTCCCCAGATGTCACGTGGCTGGCCCTTGCCTCTTCATCTTAGGGAGGCCTTCCTTGACTCCCTGCCACATAGTAGGTGCTCGAAAGCAGTTGTGGGGAGAAAGAATGAATGTTCTGGGGGAGATAGGAGCTTCACATCAACAGGGAACAGAACAAAATGGCCCTGTGTGGGGAGCCCAATCTCCTCTCTTGGCAGAAGGGGTCTGCCTCAATTTCCAAGCAACAGCCAGTGCAAAAGTACCTGGGAAACCAGCTCATGTGGAGATGGGGAGACCTGGTACCAGGGCCAGCCAAGGCAATGGTGGGAAAGGCCATGGGGACCTTGTCCAGGGCTGAAGGGATACTGGTTGTCCTGACAACAAGTTGAGGAAGGAGGAGACAGTAGGGCAGGGGCTCAGACTCAAAGACTTAGCTACAATGCCATCCGGAAGAGACGATAGGCTACGAGACCTAGGGTGTCTGGGCAGCAGGTAACCTGACCCTAAGCGGGAAGCTAGGTCAGATTCAGAGACAGGGACAACTGTGAGGTATAAAGCACCTACTACATGCCAGAAACCATCTTAGGCCCATGCATACAGTACACCTAATGGTCACAGCAGCCTTTTAAAACAGAAGTCCTGATCTCCATTTCTCTGATGAGGAAACCAAAGCTTGAAGGTGTTAAAAACCTGCCCAAGTTCACTCAGCTGACAATGGAGATGAGAGGTGAATGTCAACAGCCCATTCACCAACCTCTCAAGTGCTGAGACCTCGTACTTGTCTGGTGCTTTCCTGTTTCAAAGAGCTTTCTCATTTATTACCTCATTTGCCACAAGTAGTGTGGGAGCTGCAATGGATGCAGCTATCCCCATTCTGCAGATGGAGAAACTGAGGCCAGGACAAGCCAAGCTATTTCCTCAGGTTTGCACAGCTCTTAATCTGAACAGCAGGGATTCGCACCTGGATCTCTGCCTCACAGCCCAGTTCTCCTACTACGCTACCTGACCTCATCTCAGAAAAGGGCCTAGGATGCCTCTTTCCCAGGGGGCTGCTCTCATATGGGAGCCCAACCAGCTCAGTGAATCCCCAGGGCTGGGTGGTAGCTTCAGGCTGACTTAGCCAGTCAGGATCAGAGAGCACTGACAGCAGGCCCAAGGAGACAGGTGTCAGAGTCTGCGACCCTTCAGAAAGTGGGCTCCCAGGAAGCCCTGTCACTCACCTCCCTCTGGCCCTCAGCCAGCTGCTGCACCTTGCACTCCTTGGCCTCCAGGACCTCCTGCATCTGGGAGCTGAGGGCCAGGCCCTGAGAGTCGCTCTGTGGAGTTGACAGGCTCAGCCCTGGCCCTGCAGACTCCAGGAGCCAGCCAGACTAGGCCAGCCCTCCCCACACTCCACCTCCCCCTGGGCCTGGGATGCATGGGCCAGGATGTCCCAACAAGATGGGGTCTCAGGACAGCCCCCCTCGCTCAGGCATAGATGGTGGCAACAAGGAGACTAAGGCCCAGAGGGTGGAAGAACCAGCTCTGGCAGACAGTGAGACCTAGCAGAGATGGGAAGGGGACCCAGGTTTGACACTCCCCACTCCATCTCTCTGGGGAACACGAGCTGCTCAGGTCAGGGAGAGGACCCACTCCCAGCAGCCTCCTGCTGCCCCATATTGGCCAGTCACTGGCTCCACTATTTAGCCAGCAGAGGAGTCTAGGGTAATGGGGGAAGCAGCAGGCTGCCAGTAGGGAGCCCACCTTGGCCTGCAGCCGCTGCTTCTCCTGGCGGATCTGCTGCTCCATCTCCTCGTAGAGCTGCTGGACCTCACGATGGTGGTCAGAGTCGCGCCTGGAAGGGGTGGGAGGCAGAAGCCAGGCAGCCCATCAGCCGCCCAGGGCCCTGCTGCTGGCAGGGGTGAGTGGGGCCTGGGTTTGGAGTCCATCCTACTGCTTACCTCGCCATGCCAGCAATCACTGACCCTTGTCACCCTGAGAATAGTCATCCCAATAACAGCCCCCTGACCCATATGACTTTGACATTGGTCACCCTGATCTCACCACACCAGCTCCTGTAACCATCACCAAGTTATTGGTTCCCCTGGCCCTATCACATGGCCCCCATAGCCCTTACTCTGTCCCCACCTCCCTCTGTCACCATCCCCTGGCCTCCATAACTCAGAACCCCTGGCAGGGCTGCACTCTTGCCAACTCCAGGGTCACCACATGCATTGCCATCTATGTGAGTGGTGCCCCTGGAGTTGGTTGCCACAGTGGTCTGCACCAAGACACACTTGCCATTCCCACGCCTGCCAAAGGACCAACTGTGTCCTCCCCAACAGGTCCCCTGAGCCACCTCTTCCTCCAGATCAGCTCTGCCCCATGCAGCTACCAGGCCCTGCTGAAGACAGGAGGAGCCAGGGGAATCCAATTCAGACTCAGCTGAAGTGTGAAGAGCACCTCCTGTGGGCCAGACACCGGGGCAAGGCACCCCCCACCCCCCACTCACTTCCTCAGGGTCAGCTCCAGAGCCTCCTTGTCGGCCCGTGCCTCCTGCAGGCGGCTGGTCATCTTGGCCAGAAAGGCCTCCAGGTTGCCTGCCAGCTGGGGCTCCTCCTGCCGCAGCTTCCCCCACAGCTGCCAGACCTCCGTCTGCCTGGGGAGGGGAGGATAGTCTGAGATTAGATATAAGGTGGGGCTAACAAGCAGGGGTACTCTACTCCTCAGTTTTAATTGCAATGCTCTGAGAGACTTGGGCATCTGGACCACAAAAATCTATTGACGCCCTACAAGACACAACGAATTGCTACCTCATCCAGGATCCTTTCCCAGATGTGCCGTCTCCTTTCTTGAACCCTACAGCATTTTGTCTCTTTATGATTCAGTGATTAATAGTGGGGTGGGGGACTTGGAAGCCTGATGGCCCAGGACTTCCATCTGCCTTCTCTCTTTTCCTAACCTATAGCTGTGTGACTTTCAGCAAGTCCCATGCCATTTCTGGGCTCATTTGGAAAGGGGGGGGGTGGCCAATACCTGCCCTGCAAGGTCTTGGGGAATGACAGACACACCTGATGAAAGCACCAGCTCAGGGCCTGGCACATAGTTGGCACTTGATAAATGCTGCTTTCACAGGGATTTAATTAAGTCATAAAGACAGATGCCAGAGGACAGAGCCCAGGCCAAGCTGCCAAGTGGGTAAGTGGCTCCCCATCCCACTTGCCCCACCAGCTGACATCCTAAATCCTGCCTTGCCTGTCCCACCCTCCAAGAGCCAAATGTGAGGAATTGTCCTCACGGGACCTAGAGCCCCGTAGGTGGGGTAAGCGAGCCAGGGTGAATGTGTGAGGGTGATTCCCTAGACAGCTCTAACAGAGCCCGGGGCTGGGGATGTGGAGGGGGCATTTTCAGGCAGGGTTCCTTTTCTCTGAGCATGAGTGAACCCCATAAGCCCAGAGCCTGAGACAAATTGGAAGAAATGCCCTCCTGTCTCCAAACCCGTGCAACCCGGGGCATTGCCCCACTGGGGGGCCCTCTTTTTGAATTAAGAAAGGCAACCTCAGGGAGCCTCATGTTTTGAAGACTGTGAGTACCCTTGGGAGGCTGATACCCCAACTCACTAATCCTTCTGGAGAGTGATTCCACAGGACAGGACAAGGGAGGGAGAGTGTGGGGGTAGGAAAGATTCCTCATTGACCAGACATCCTCTGCACATGGTTTTAACCCCACCACCGCTTTTATGCTCATTCTGCAGCCAGAGAAAGAGGTCAGAGGTCAGGCCACTTGCCCAAGGTCACACAGGTAGACAGTGGCCAAGCTGGGATTTTTACCCGGCTCTGCCCAAGCTCTGCCCCTTGGCACCGTGTCCAAGAGAACCCTTGTCCCCACTGGACAGCAGAGCCTCCCCCACCACATATGCACACTGCACTGGCCTTACTCAGGAAGTGAGTGGCTGGTCCCCAGCTGCTCCATGAAGACAAGGAATGCTGCCTTCTCCTCAGCATCAGCCTCTTCCAGCACTGGGAAGTGGGTGGTCGCCGATACCCGCTTAGAGGGCAGTGGCCTCCTTCTGCGGAGCCTATGGGTGCTTGGACTGGAGCCAAAAATGTTTTCTGTGGGCCAGAGAAGGACAGAGAGGAACACAGTGAGTTGGGACCAGCCCCTGAGCTCCCACCCTGCCCCATCCAGCACCTGGGGAAGTAATTTTACCTATGCCGGTCACATTTATACAGGGCCACATTTATACATTCCTTATATCAACCTTGGGAGTCTACTCAAGGTAGACACTGTGCCCATTTTACAGATGAGCATTTGAGGCCTAGAGACACTAAAAGACTTGCTGGAAGTCACACAGCAGCTCCATGGTGGCCAACAGATTCTTCATGCACTCAGTCAAGGGATATTTATTGAGCACTATGTGCTGGTGATAAAATTGGTCAAAATCCCTGCCCTGGTGGAGCTGACATTCTAGTGAGGATCGAACAAGATACTTTCTTTTTGTTTGTTTAAGTGAATTTGCTAGGTGAGCCAAAGGAATAAGCAGAGTAGTTCCCCCTGAGAGACTGGGGAGGACCTGCTTTAGATGGAGTGGATAGGAGTGTCCCGGGAGCTAACACTGTGACTGAGATGTGAACAAGGAGGTGCGAGCAGTGTGGATTTTCAGAGAAGCGCATTCTAGGCAGAGAGCACAGCACATGCAAAGGCCCTGAGGTAGGAGCCAGGCTGGCAAGACAGAGTGGGTGAGTGGCACTGAGTGAGCCCAAGTGATTGGCAGGTTCTGGATGGTGCGGGCTCTGCAGCCTCCAGGAATGGGGTTGGATTTTGTTCCATAGGCAATAGAAAGTCCCTGGCATGGCAGGCATGGTGGAATTCAGATGTGAAGATGGCCCTGGGGGACTGCGTGAACAACCGTGTTCCCTCTGCACCCCACCCACATTCCGGGCCCTGAGTCCTCCTCCCCACTCTCACCTCCTCAATCAACAGAACTGAAACAACCAGCTCCTGGGTGGCCCCAACCTGCAAATGCAGATTCCTGGCCCCCCTCTCTGCTGTCCTTCAAACTTTCGGAGATTCAGCTGACCTGAGAACTCTGGACAGCTTTGTGGACATGGAGGCTGAGCTGTGTTTTGCAGGGGTTTTCTGAGGACACCACCCTTTCCATTCCCTGGTCCAGAAGTTCCTCCCCTGTGGAGAGGATCAGTGGGACAATTGTGCCCTGTCAACCTTGGGCTCTCTAAGTCCTGTTGAGCCCGCCCTGAGAGGCAGGTGCTGTGCTGGCCCTGCCCAGTGGTGTCTCAGCACCTGGGAAGCCCCTACTCCCTAAATATCACCCTCTGCTGTTCCCTGGGGCCTGGAATTCCCTTAATCCAAGCCAGAATATGGTCCTCCTCAGGTGGAAACAAGGCCTGTGTTCTCAAAAATGGAAGGTATTTAACTTCTCGCTCTCTGGAGAGAAGCCTTTTGTTGGAGAGAAGACAAGGCAGGGGTCAGAAGGCAAGCCCAGAGGCCTCGCTGGAGAAGGGCGGTGCTCAGTGGAACACCCTGAACTGCTCTCAGCTGTGTTGTGAAGGTCCCCTGGCTGGGAAAAGGGTTGTCTTTTCTGACAACCCAGTTTAGCACCGGCTGGGCACACCATGAGGGACGCCTGGCTGCAGGAATTCCCCCAAGGCCCTCCCAGGACAGACATACTAAATCCAGAGCTGAATTCTTCAAGGGAGAGGTGTCCCTTCCGCTCCACATCCACCCAGTCGAAGATCATCTCTGGCTCCTCCTTGCTGCCCAGGAAGCTGAACTTGGCTACCTGGAAGGAAGGGGTGAGTTGGGCTGCTGTTCTCACTGGGGGAGGATCTGGGCTACCCTCAAAACAAGAGAGATGTCTGTCTTCAGCCACACCTACCTCCCCTCTCCCCAATTTCCAAATTCTCCTGATAACCGAACCCAAGGCCTACCCCTAGGACTCTCCAGCCCCACCCAGGGCTGCACTCTCAGCAGAGCCCTGAACTGGCTCCAAACCCTTTCCTTTTATCCATCCAAAATCGATACTTATCTGTCATGAGTCCCATCCCTCTAGGACCTTGATAAAGAACAGCAGCTAATCTTCCTACAACGTGTTCATCAGTGTCCAAAAAAAATCTGAAACTTGCAAATAAGTCAAAAAATGGACAGCACATCCTTTCTGCATTATACAGAGCCGAAGGCCACCCAAGCATCTTCTAAACTATAGAAATATACTTAGTTCATCTCATGGGACTGATTAAGGGTCCCAGACTAAGTGAAATCATGTGTTAATTATAGATTTTGTCTAGGAGAGATGTAAATCATTTTTATTTGATGGAACAGGTAACTCCAAAGATTTATGGCCTGTTAGACATCAACCAGCTTTTTAAAACCTAACATAGCAATCTGATTCTAACATTTCTTTGTTAAATTGCTTTGATTTTAAAATGCTCTTTGACCCATTCATGACATCCTTCAGTAATTAATGAGTTAAATGAAATCTTCTGTATGAGTTCATTTTATAATTTCCTACAGGTCATGACTTTACCATTTTGAAAATTATCCTTTAACAGCTTTGGAAGGTGTGTGGAGATGGCCCAGGGGACTCACCTGGCAGGGCCACCTGAACTGCCCTGCTGGACGGGGCACTTCATGGGCCCTCTGGGCCCAGTCACTTCTTTTCTCGGCTGTCAGAGGGAATCGCAAATGAAATAGAACTTTGAGTGTGCTGATTCTGTTTCTTTAGTTGTTGTTTTCCTTTTCGCTGATTTTGTGGTTTTATCTGTGGTTGCACATGACTGATATGTTATTCTCAATTGGTGGCAGCAGTGATGGGGATTTGGTGTTGTTTTTTTTTTTTTTTTTGTCTTTTTTCGTGTCCGGCAACGGATCGCAACCCTCGGTGTCGCCCCCGCGCCTCGCTCAGCCAGTGAGCGGGAACCGGTCCGTATGTGGGATCCGAACCCTCGGCGGGAGCGCTACCGCACTCCCAAGCAGAGCACTGTAGCAGTGCACCACCGGGCCGGCCAGGGGATTTGGTTTTATGGCCTATTTGGTGACCCCTGCAGGGTATGTAATGGAGGCCTAGTGCCTGTTGGTTGAGAGATAACAGAAAATCCAGTTTGCTAATCTTTTCCTTGTTGTTTGTTTGTTTTTCAATTTGTGACCACAAATTGGTTAAGAATTGCTTCCTCACTGGGAAGGACAATAGCTCTTTGTGATCTGCACTGGTGAGTTTTGGGGTTTCTGTGCTTACTTTTGATCTGTGGCTGGAACTGTAGAAACAAAGCCAGACGTTTTCTGTGGGCCCAAACGTCTGTACTTCAGAAAGGCCTTTAACTCTTATTGTGAGTATAAAATACTTTTGTACATCTGGAAGGTGTTAATAACAGAGTACTATGTCTCTTAACAGAGTTCCATACTGATTGGTTGTTAGAGACAAATAAGTGCTTATATAAATCTGTATAAATCTAATGTTCCTTAAAATAAAAGAAATTAAAGAAACTGAAATTCTAATTCTTTAAGTGTTGTAGACTTTTAAAAAATATCTCTTACAGAAATTGCTAGCTCCGAAAAATTTTGAACCAGGTTCGTATAATTAAGATGAATCTTTGAACAAATTAGGCTGCTTTAATAATTTTTATTTACAAAACACAAATAATAACCTATCTGCATTTTCTCTGCTGTATGTTATGTATAATACAAGTATACCTTCTATTTTTAATAAGATCTGTGTTTGTTTTTTTACGAGAAAACTAGTTCATCTGAATTTTCTACACTTCTCATTTTTGGCTTACTGATCAAATAAGCCAACATTATCCTTACACATGTTTAAGATGATAAAGGTGGAAATTTGTATTCAACTAAATGGGTTCATTATTCTAACAAATAAATTGTATNGCCGGTCCCGGTCCGGTGCGGGCGCGACACTGAGGGTTGTGATCCGTTGCCGGACACAAAAGAAGACAAAAAGGAAAAAAAAAAAATCCAGCCTAAGATTCTGTATGAAAACTTCTGGACAGAAACTAAAACAGCTCAATCTTGCAAAAGTCTCAGTTTGTAGCACAAATTCAAGGAGGCCCATATGTTTAATTTACACCCTTGCTGTACCTATGGAAATAATAAAGCCAAACCTAATGAGACCAGCCTTTTATGCACCAAGAAAAAACTTTGGAGATTATTTATGATCACAGGAAAATTATCTGAAACGTGGAAATAAGGCAAAAAGGTAGATAGCACATCCAATATTATATGGAGGCGAAGGCTTCAAGCAATGTCTAGACTAGAGGAAGAGACTTAGTTCACCTCATTGTTTACCTTTAATTAAAAGTACCAGATGTACTGAAGTTACTTGTTAACTTGTAGATTTTTGTTCAGGAGAGATGAAAATAATATTTGTCTAATAGGATAACCCAAAATATTTATGGCCTGTTGGACATCAGCCATTACTTAAATTGAACTCAGCAATTTTATCCCAGCCCTTGTCTGTCAAATTATCTATAAATAACCTCACTTCTCAAATGCTCTTTGAACTACAACATCTTGCTGGTTCCATCGTTAATTAATAATAATAATTAATTAGATATGGTCTTTGATAGGTGTTGATTTTATATTTACTCAAGTCATTTTTTTAACCTTTTTGAAAATTATGTTTTAACATCAGTTATTCATACCTTGTTGTGGCCCGGGGGGATGTGCTATAGAGTCAGTTTTGTTGGGGAAAGGACTAAGTCTGGAGCACAGAGCAAAATCAGGAGA